ATTATACTTGAAAGAGTTTCATCCCTTGGCATCAACTACGGCCAAGTTGGGAATAATTTGCCTCCGCCGGAAAAAGTGATCGACCTCTTGACCTCTCTAAGGATCACAAAGACGAGAATCTACGACACCAATCCTCAGATTCTGAAAGCATTTGCCAATTCGAAGATAGAGATCGTCGTCACGATCGAGAATCAGATCCTGCCATTGCTAACAGATCCTCAACAGGCTCTCCGATGGGTCAGCTCTCGTATCAAACCTTATTTCCCGGCCACCAAGATCACGGGGATCATGGTGGGCAATGAGCTGTTCACGGATCAAGACTCGAGCTTGATTGGGTACGCATACATACATACATACATACATACATACATACATACGTACGTACGTACATACACATACATACATACATACATACATACATACATACATACATACATACATACATACATACATACATACATACATACATACATACATACATACATACATACATACATATATTTTGTTTTTCAACTTTAAACACATCATAGGTATTTTGAGAATTACGAAGGGTTTCACTTCGAATTTAGATATTTGTTTATTTTCTATTTAGTTTGACAATAATCCACCGTCATCATGTTATAGATTTACAAAGATAAAAGATACAAAATAATATTCATCTTTTTATTATATGGTTCAAAATATATATGATATATCGACAGTAACACAATATAGTTATATGATATATACATACATAGTATAATTAAGATATCTGCGGTTTTTAGTATTTTTTATAATTTTATTACGTTTTCACTTGTCATTTGATGTCGAGTTTACAATTTTACAGGTACTTGGTACCAGCAATGATCAACATCCACCGTGCCCTAGTTCAATTGTCCCTAGACAAGTACATTCAAGTCTCGACACCGAGTTCACTCGCCGTCCTGGCCGAGTCATACCCTCCATCCTCCGGAAGTTTCCGACCGGAGGTAGCCGCCGTCATGCAACAGCTCTTACGTTTCTTGGACAGCACGAAATCCCCGTTTTGGATCAACGCTTATCCTTACTTCGCCTACAAAGACAACCCCACCAAAATCCCCGTAGACTACGTTCTCTTCAACCGTAACCCGGGCATGACCGATCCAAACACGAGACTACACTATGACAACATGCTGTACGCGCAAGTTGACGCCGTCAACTTCGCCGTCATGAAAATGGGTTACCGTAACGTAGAGGTTAGGGTTTCGGAGACGGGGTGGCCGTCGAAGGGTGACGTGGAAGAGACAGGAGCGTGGCCTACAAACGCCGCCGTGTACAACCGGAACTTGATGATGAGACAATTTGGCGGAGAAGGGACGCCGTTGAGGCATAACACGAGGCTCGAGGTCTATATATTCGCGTTGTTCAACGAGGACATGAAACCGGGTCCCACATCGGAGCGGAATTACGGGTTATTTCGACCCGACGGGTCTATGTCATATAACTTGGGCTTCTCTTCCATGTCTACCATTGCGGCTTCGGAATCTTTCTCTCTTCCCTCTTCTTCTGCCTCAAAGGTAAAAACTTTTTTCTTCCTTTCTAAAGGGTAAAAAAACTTTCTTTTAAAAGGTGGTATCTTTTTTTTCCGGAAGGTAAAAGATTTAGTGCTTAGGGCAATATTGCATGATCGGAACATAGGTTTAGAAGATATATATTAGCTATTTATGTTCAAGAATTTGATTAACATTAGCTATAGATTCTTAAATCATTAGAAAATAAAATACTAATAACGGAACAAAATCAATGCGGAACAGGCAATGAAGAAGGAAAAGAAAAGCTTGGAGTGTTGCACAATTTTGATCTTGGCCATGATCATCATTCAAGTCGTCCTCCCAAGAAGATCTTAAAAGGGAAACGCGAAGAATTATTTGCATTTTTAGTTAGGATATTAATAATCTTAATGATTAGATAATGTAAATTTCTAGTAACCCATCTCATATTATATATCATAATTTATTTATTCCGAGCACTCATGTTTTCTTCTGAACCACCTTTCGTGATTTCCAACAAAACTCAAAAGATTTATTCATAAAAACGAGTTCAATATCAAATTTAAGAGAGAAAGAACATGATGAACACAAGAACAGAAAAGAAAAAGAGGGAGAGCAGTCGTCACGGCGAGAGAATGTTGCTGTGGCTGGGGGGGGCGGGGGGTAGCGGTGAGCGTTGAGATGAGCCGAAGGCCTTGTGTTCCTCAGAGCTGCTTCTATGTCTTCCCGCAAAATCGGACCCACTTTTGGTAGCTCTGCATTCAAGAACCCCGAAAAATGCGTCAAACCTCGACTCGATATAACGACTCTATATGTCAAAATCGATCATATAATAACTGGTAAATACCTGCACTCGGGTTTATGGTTCACCAAAGCTACGTTTGGCTCACGTCATTTTGTGGTAAATGTAAAGGTATCGGGGTGGGGCATAAATAATCGAAAATGAAATACGCGGCCTTTCATACATAATTTTTGAATTCGGATATCCGAACATTTTCTTGAGTACTCGTAATCCGAATACTCGAAACCTTCGAAAACGAGTAGGGATATCAAATTGTGATATCTCACACCGTTTCTTGGTTAGTTCTGTCTGGAAATTGAGTTTTGGAACAACTTACCATCATCAGGAATGATTTCGTCTCTTTGTTCCAATACGGCCATCAAACGTCGCACCGGTTGCATGGCAGCTTCTTTGCAGAGTGACCGAATGTCCGAGCCCGAATAACCTTCGGTTTTCTCGACTAATAGGTCATACGGTAGGGACTCCTCCTCGGGTCTTGAGGACAGGAGTTCTTCAAACATGGCTTGCCTTGCCTCTGGCTCGGGAAGCGGCACAAGTATCTGATTTTTCACACATTTGTTAAAGCTCACTACAACGTGCGGAAACCTGTCTGAACGTAGTTCTCCAACGCTATATATAAGAAAAAATATTAAAGAATGATCATTGGAGATAGGATACTCTTTTCTCCAGCCGCCTGAGCATGGCGGCATCAAGCTCCCATGGAAGATTCGTCGCTGCTAAAACAAACACGAGCTCATCCGTCTGTGTCAGGCCGTCCATCTGAAAATCTAACCGGAAACGTATTTGTACAAAATTTGCAACAACAAAAAATTAGGGTAAAACATAGAACTTTCAACAGTTGATTAGAGAAATCTAAAATGCTAATTCGACTTCACCTGTATGAGCAGCTCAGTTTTGAGACGCCTGCTTGCTTCATGTTCACCGCGGCCATCACCACGGTGGCTTATGATCGCATCAATTTCATCGAGAAAGATTGTAGATGGTGCGTGGTGTTTAGCCATATCAAATAGCACCCTAATCAGCTTCTCCGAATCCCCTGAAGCACACCAATGAGTTTTCCATGATTCAGTCTCGACGTTATTCCTCTAAGCTCTCCTATATGTGTGCTGATACATTTCAAATGAAACCATCCTACCTCTCCATTTGCTCACAACAGACGAAGCTGATATGTTAAAGAACGTGGTATTGCATTCAGTCGCAACAGCCTTTGCAAGCATTGTCTGAAATTGAAACCGTAAGACAGGAAATTCGAATGTCGGGTCTCTATATAAGCACAATGGCACCGATTACCGACCTTCCCTGTCCCGGGAGGACCAAAGAGAAGAATTCCTTTCCATGGTGAAAGCAGACCTGTAAAGTACCTGAAGAAAACAACAGACAAGGGTTAGATCGTTGATGTCCTGAAAATGGAAGCCTCAAGGTTTGGTTTGTTCTACAAGGACCTACTTTGGATATTTTATAGGCATCACCACAGCTTCCTTGAGCAATTGCTTAGCATTTCCCAACCCTTTGATACTTTCCCACTTAACGTCAGGACTTCCATGGATAATGTCCCTGCAGAGGAGTTTCCGATATATGTAATAAAACCCACGATATTCTTCCACTTTGCTCGGAACTTTTCCGTGTTTTCAGACACTAAACAAAAGCTTGTCTTCCACTTACCTACTCAAGCTTTCAGCTAAAGCACGAGTTTCTGCAGATTCAAAAGGGGGAAGCAGGGGTTTGCGCCTGGAAAATCGAAGCTAAGGAGGCATAATGAGCTCTTCAAGACCAGAAAATCGAGCGAGAGCATTAAACAAATCATCTACATAAGCTAAATAGAGAAGATTTTACGGTTTCACATTCGTTCCATTGGAGACAGATCCATTAGCGTGATTCGAGCTGTCCTGAAACCACATTCAACAACTGTAACTCAACATGTCTGAAATCTGGCAAGGATGTCCAAAACAAGATCACTAGCTCAGACCGATTGCATCACATGACCATCATCAGCGATGTTCTTGACATGCCCATTGCTGTTCAGTGCGCTAATTGGCAAGCCCCTTGATCTATCGTCAGTTTCTTGGCCATCCTGTGATTGAGGACGTGGCTTCTTTCTCCCGAATTTCGCATCGTAATGCAATTTGAAATCCTACGCATACAGACGCCACTTAGACATAGCTAATAGATTCCAAATTCATTACCAACTGAAACGAATACACGAAATGAGAAAAGTCGCACAAAGAAATCAAAGGCCTAAACAGTGAGTTAAACGATAGTCGTCGATTACGGAAACTCAATTCTGTGAAATTACAATCGGATCTAAGCACTTGCAAGCAGTAATGAAGTCAAATCATTTCAGCACAGGACTCGGAATCGAAGTCGATCCAGGACAACTGGGAGAGTTTCCTCCTTTTTTCTCCAGTAAGAATTTTCTCGGTAACCAAACAAGAGAGGAAAACGAGAGAGGATCGCGCGGTAAAATTTACCTCGAAAGTCCAGCGAGTCAGAGATGGCTCGTCGTCGCCGGCCATAATCGGCGATCGCCAGGCGGAGAAGAAGAGAAGCAAATGGCTTCCAGGAACCTGTCTCTTTCTCTAGTCTCTGTCTGGTACCGACAGAATCCGCATGGAGAAGAAGAGAAGCCTGGCAATAATTGAATCTCTCCGGAAACGACTGGCAAAGGCTACGACAGAGTATCAGCAACAAATGCCATTTGCTCCTTTCATTTTCTTTTCATTAATTTAAAAATGCTTAAAATATTTCAGTTTTCATAGCGCATGAAATCTTTATTTTCTCCTTTTGAATTATTATTAATTCCCTGAAAATTAAGATGAACATTAAAAAAAAAAAACTATGATTGGATTCCCATGATACGCTGCTTTTCTATGGGCCCAAAATCATATAAGCCTCTTAGATTTAGGCCCATTAAATGATGGGCTCCGGGGACAGAGCCCTTGGGCATGGTATGATCTATGGCCCACAAATATTGTATATACCGTGGCTTATTTTGTTAACCGACCCGTACATTCGAACCGAATCAAATTGGATGTAAAATTGAATGACAATTATTTTTTTTAAACTAAAAAAAATCGAATCCGAATTTGAACCAAATCAAATAAAAGAATAAATGAAAAATAAATTTTTTTTAGAAAATGAATATTCTTGTTATAATAGAACCGAATCCAAACGAAATTCAATACAAAAACCAAATAGTTATAATTTTTTTAAAATAGAAATAACTGAACTCGAATATAATCGAATATAACTGAACTGAATTCCGAAAAAGTCATTCTTAATAAATACTAAGGTGTTGAATGGTAGGAGTTTTTAGAGTTTTTGGATTTCAAAAAGTGAAAAAACCAACAATTAAGTTTCTTTTAATTTGGTTTTTCTAAAAACCCAAAAATCTATTTTATGAAAAAAAATCAACTAAAAACTAAAAGCCACCTTTTTTAGATTTATAAACTTTCAGAATCCAAAAACTAAAAACCCAAAACCAAAAACTAAAGCCAAAAACCCAAAATAAAAACCAATACCATTCGAAGCCTAAATAGCTTTTTGTTTCTGTCCAGAGTAGAGTATTATACCTTTTTTTTTGTATACAAAATTTTTTTTTATTAATGAAATAATCAAAGATGTTCCAATTGAATAAAATATCATTGTAATCGAATATGATTCGATATAAATATCAAATATGTATGATTTTTCTAAAATTGGAAAATTAAATTTTGTAAAGAAAATGAAATTTAATCTAATCGAATTCAATAGAATAAAAATCGAGGGTTATAATTTTTTCTAGAAATTTGAAACGAAACCGAATTAGAACTCGAATAAACCAGCCCTATTCGTACTATATAATCTAAGGTATATAAATTTTCTGAATCTTTTGTGAGCAATTTCGAACCGCATGGATCGTAACTAAGAGTGAATATATATATATATATGTATATATATTCACGTTACAAATACAACGAAGGCAACGTCAATATATATATATATATATATATATATATATTTGTGAATTTATGATATTTTTTGTGTTTTTTAATATAAAAGGTAGTTTTTGTTTTGTTGGTTGCAAAAGCTATGGCATTGGAGTGGACTTACGGTACGAACACACGGAAATGAAGGGGGGGAAATAATAAACTCCCATGAAACAAGAGCTTCTTTCCTCTTGGATTCACGATGCAAAATCCACATGCCTCTTCCCAATTATATCGGCTGAATATACTCTCATATTTGCGCAAAACGATGCGTTTTGACCTTGAAAACGAGGCAGATATGCTAATCCCCTGCATATATAATATTCTGCAAACGTGTGTGTGATCTGACTCTAGAAACCTCCCCTTTATTTTAATTTTATTTACTAGGCCGACGTATTATTCACAATATTTCCGAGGAAATTAGCTTAATTGCTTAAGCAGAAAAAAATATATACGCTTTTTTGTACGGTTCACTTGCTAACGTGCAATATAGGAAAGTGGAACTATATTTTATCCAATGTTGGGCACCAAAAATTTCACGAGGTCCATTAAAATATGCAAAATTCGTATGACTATTAAATGACTCGAATACAATCGTCATCCAAGTGAAAAAGAAGGGCAGACAAAATAGGAAATAAAAAGTATATTGCAAAAAATACAAGCTATACTCGACGTCTATATACGTATTTTTTTATACAGTAGCACACTGAAAAAAATGCAATAACGATCAATAAAAGAGAATCAGGAATAAGGAGAACAAACAAAAAGGTTACAGACGAGACGAACAAAGAAGATTCACGATATAAAGGAACCGATATTGTTCCCATAGAATATACTTATATTCCGGGTCGATCTAGGGTTTTCTAGAGTCGGGGAGATGGCAAAAACGAGATGCAGAATTAGGGAACCGGTTGTGGCAATGAGATGAACCGGAGCTTGGTGGGTTGACTCCCTTTGGAAGCATAACCGAAAGTGAGCCCGGTTCGACCGGCCGGTTCTTCTTCACCATCTCGAAGTACTGATCCTTGCGACCAAGAAGACGACGATGACGACGACGACGACGACAAAGAGGATGGTCGTGTTGCGCCCGGTTCAAGAAAAACGGCGTCGTTTTCTTGATGTTGACGAGATCGTGCGGATGTTTCGTATCCTCTCCCGCGTCATAAGTTTCGGATTTCTCTCGTGCTCTGGTTTCAAGACTCGGTAACGACGAGGCGACGAGGAAGAGAGAGAGAGCGAGAGAGAGGACGAAGTTTTTCAGATGGGTATCTTTGGGACTATTCATTGTGGAGAGATTAGGGTTTCAGAGAGAGGGAGAGAGAGAGAGAGAGATTGTAAAAACTGCTCCTAAATGAGATTTTTGAGACATGGAGAACGGGAAAAGCGACTTCTCTCAACTCAAATGAGTACGTAATATGGCATTAATTTGCAGGGCCATTTTTGTACCGACGAACCATCTGTTTTTTTTTGTGTCACAAATTAACATTATTTTCGTTATATCCAAGACTTTGCATCAACTAATCTTATAAGTTTTAAATTGTTAATATTAATGACGTGATCTCACTCTCTCTCTCTCTCTCTCTCTCTCTCTCTCATATATAATATATGTGTGTGTATATATATATATCATGGAAACATTGACGGATAACTAAAAACTGTTTGCAATTATGGTCCATTCGTACCCTTTTCTTTTATGGATTTCATTGGTCTATTTCTCATTAGCGTCTTGAGGATCTAGAGCCATATATATATATGATATGGGTGATCAAAGATTATCCTACCTATACGTGAATCGTTTTTCTTTACGTGAATATCAGTGCTGACGAGGAGACCAGTAATTGATTTGAATTGATCACATGTTTTCCAATACGAATTCCACCCAACCACCTCGTTAATTATTCACACGTGTGTTGCCCCCGTTTTAATGTTTTTTATACGTCCTTAATGTTCGTACTTGCATACATATTATGACGCCTTAATTGTTACACATATATATACAACACATATTGTTTTTAAAAGTTCAGACCAACTATTTCTAATTTATTTTCGTGATGAATAATATCTAGTAATATCCAATTGTGCGCTGAGCATCTAATGTAAGATATTATTGTAAGAAACTCGCCAAGAAAAAAGTTATTGATACAAAATTGTGGGAAAAAAAAAACTCATTTCGTTACCATTAAAGCCCACCTGAGGCCCAGATCCATGTTTCTGTTTAGCCCAATATAATGCGCCGAGTCATCAACTACACCCCCTCCCCCTTTCTGCGATTTCAAATGACGGAGACGAATTTTAATTTTCAGGAAAAGAAATCCGCACGCGATCACTCTCCCGGAAAGGGCGGGAACCAAAGTCTTCTGATCAGCTTCTCAAATACATTCTGCGAAGGCTTCCTGTCGAAGATTTCCGTCAAAGCTTCTCAGAGGTTCGAATAAAATCTTGCTTACGCTACTAAATGCATTGCGCTGCTTGGAGATCATTGCAGATGGAGCAAATCAGGTCGTAGAAGATGTTCGTCAAGCGATCGCCAGGTTTCTTCATCGCTATAACGAATTTCTCATTCGACTCTGTACCCGTACATTCTTGTTTGGTGTGCGATTCGGAGTTTAATTCGTTATGTGATGTGATAGTGTGTCCGCTTTCTCTCTGCCGATGAAATTCAGTGTACCTTGAATTCGTATTGTACATTGAATTTGAATTTCTTGTACGACCTAATTGTTAATCGCGATGGATTCGTGAACGTTTCATAGAGTTTGATTATGATCATCTGTTTCAAAATAATTGAAACCTAAAGGAACTTAACTGGATCTTTGTGAATTCATTATGCACGCAGTGGCTATATTATATATTTGGGTTCGGGTAAATGCAACCTCGTGAACTGCTTTTGTGGCGAGCAACCAGGCGAGATAGTAGAACTCTAAAATCTACAACAGTAGAGACGTTCCGAAATGTCACCATACTGCCGTGTCGGTTTGATCGATGTTGTCTTATTGTTTTTTTTTTTCATCGCTTGCTGCTATTCAGATTTTAATGTTGATGGACTGCTTTTGATGATATAATTTTCTCTGGTTTCAGTGAAATAGGACAAACACATTCCCTACAGATGTACATGCTTCATCAACGAACTCACTATGTCTGGTCAAGTCAAGTTGCAATCTGTACCTTCAAATTCGTTTTGATGTAAGAACAAATGTTCACCATCTCGAATGACATCCATATCATCTATTTCAGCGTTTTCAGCATTGGTGATCTTTGTGAAGCTCTGGCCTTCAAATTTTTCACCTGTGTAATTGCCGAAGTTTGACATTAAGAAATCTGTTTAGATAAAGGAAGATTGCTCTACTAGTTCTATGTTTTCTGTGAAGTAACAGAGCTTACCAGCAACTCTTAGCAGTTCTGCCACTGAAGCAGGTAGAAGTATCAACTTTCCGCTCTGTCTCTGTGATAAATTTTTGGCCTGCGGCTGCATGTGGATAATAACCCTCCTATTGTTTGGCTTTGCAGCTGGTTGTACAGTGGCATTGATTGGGAAGCTGGAGCTGCAGTACGAATCCATCTTTTGTGAACGAAATCTGTAAGAGGTAGGATCCAAATCTTCACTGTATCTTTTTCCATTCACTACCATTTTGGGTTTTCTGGGTTCTGCTATCTGTATCCTATGTTCTTCTGCTTTTCTTATGTCATAGTTCAGTAAAAGGTCATATATGCTCTTGTTTTCTTGTTGCTTTGCAAGAGCCTTTGGTGTCCAGCCTCTAGAATCTGGTTTGTCTATGCTAACCCCTCGTTCAAGTAGCTTCTGTACCATTTCAATATTCCCCCTGTGAATTGCGGCTGTAAGAGCTGTTTCTCTACTTCCCGGTGTAAAATCTGGTACCTCTGTGCAACTGGCCCTATAGTCACCTTTTCTTGAATTGGTTCCTTCTGTTGATCCCATTCCTGGGAACCTTGTATTTTCTGAATCATGCGCTGACGAACATTTGTGTTGGTAATCTTGGCCGTTGGCATGTCCTTCTCCTCTTTTTGGAACTCCGTCCAACTCTTCTACTCTCTTTGGAACTCCATCCAACCAGTCCCGTAAGAAGGAGCCTGGATCATTGGTCGTGTCATCAATTGTTATTGACTGTTGCCCTCTAAGTTTCTGCATGTTTTGGCATGAAATGAGTCAATATTGTTTAACTGTAAAGTGAAAACGCCAGAAACATACTGAGTTCAAAGTATGTGGGATATCGCTTACCATGCAGAGATTGTTCATTATAGCACGCCCATCTTCAATATGTGCTTGCGTGGTGTTCATCAGAGATGTTCTGCTCACCCGTAGTATTTGACAAAGTTCAGTTGTTCTAACTGTGAAAGGTTGTGGCCTGCAGCATAAAACTCCAATCTCCCCAAATGCATCTCCAGCAATTGCTTTCCCATGAACCTGCATCATGTAAGAAATGTGGTTATTATTGTTTCTTTTGGTAACCGTGCACAAGCATATAGAAAATGTTTTCCTGAAATATTTTCATGAGCTACCTGATCTTGTCCATCAACGTAGGAGATGAATTCCTGCATGATAACACCGGATAGTGTAAATTGTTAGGACATACTTCAGGTATTTCTGTGCAGTTATTTATACCCAAATCATTCACTCACCACTGCCCCAGAGACCAGTATGTAAAGTTCTGTAGGAGCTTCATTTTGTAGTATTACATCTTCTTTGGGTGGAAAATACTCGGCTTCTACATCTGAAACCTTGAATGGCAAAAGTTCACGGGGTTGGTAACCTTATGAAATCATTCCCTATGGCCTGTAAGTGCTACAAGTATGGGGCAATGGGTGCGGAGAGTAGAAAACAGAATGTAAAGAAAGAAATGTAGTTCAAAGTTACAGATGAGACAGAGTACCAGTTGAAAGAGGAAGTCACGAGAAACTCCTTGAAAAAGGTAGACATTCTGAACAATGGGGAAAAAGAGATAGTTTGCAATGCTTGTACGGATGGCTTTCGGCAAACCATTCAATGTTTCCTGTTGTTTCAGACCTTCTGTTTTGAACTTTAAGCAGATGTGTGATAACATCTGGTCTTGTATGTGAGGTGGGAGTTGGTTTCGTGATGTGAATTCTGAAGCGGCTCTGACTGTCTCCCTCTGTTGAATTGAAACAGTTCAGCTTTCCTAGTTTGTGAGATTAGCTGAATATTATACTAGTTATAGTTTCGAGGGTAGAGAAATTTTTATCTATCAGATTATGTAATCGGAGTTGTTTTAGCGTAGGAATAAATTACAGTCGGCTATGCATGCATCTAGCATAACAAACTTCTTATTCCATGTCAATATTTTGAGCAGAACAGTTGTTTGATTTTCACCTATTTGACCCACTATGTAACATTTTTAGCAGGCTGAGCATTCAGGGTGGTAGTGGGAGATCTAAAAGAAGTCAGACTTACAAAACTTCTGGTGCGGCTAGTCCAGTGAACCACGAGGTTGGTCATATTCCCAATCAGGTAAGAGGTCAAACCCAAGTTGAACAGCATGTAAAAGATGTCAAACAGCATTTCCCTCGGATTATTAGCATGCAAGTCTCCATACCCCGTGGTTGTTAGTGTCGTAATTGACCAGTAAAGAGCAGTCACATATCTATCCCAGACACTCGCCTCCTTGAACTTTGGATATACAGACCCAATCCATGTTTTCGTTGGATCAGGGTATCTATCTGCAATGAGGTAGTTGAAGCATCCGGCACAATGTACTGCAAACAGGGTAACCTGAGATTGACAACAACAGGTAAAGCTCCCCAACTTATCAACTGTCATCACTATAGATGAGATATCTGTGTGCATGTTTTAACACTTACTGAAACGAGTTTTGTACATCTTGTCCAGAAATAGTTGAAACGGATATCTTTCTCAAGCCTGAAGGAAAGGAGAAGTAGGAGGATAAGTACTACATCCACCGTAGAATGAAATGGTTTAAACATATTTTTTAGCCAAATGAACCTTGCGAACAGCGAGCTAACTCGTCTTAGACGCCAGAGCCTGAGCATGCTAAGAACTCTGAATCCTAGTTCACTTCCATTGTAGTTGAACAGCAGACTCAATGACTGAAACGGTGCTGTTGAACACACATCAAAGGCAAACCAAGTAGACAGGTACCTGAATGTTGCATGTCCAGAAATTAGCTTGTATACGTTAACTATCACTTTCGAAAAAGATTTACATCTTATGAGTATTTTCACTTGAAAACACCAAAATGAGCCAAACTTCAGAGTCTTTCTCACCTTATAGCTATTTTCTTAGGATTGTCAACTAGAAGATAGGAGTCGCTGTCGAGATATGCGACAAAGAAGGTGAGAATGATGTCAATGGCAAAGAAGCCATTGACAATGTTGTCGATTATGAAAAGTGCATCTTTTTTGTAGGTGATGAAGGCAAAGTCAAATGGACAGATCCATGCCGAGTAAATGACTAGAACGACCAGCCACATCTCCCACGCCCTGAATCAACACAAGCAGCAGTCAAACAGATGACAGAAACAGAACCAATCCCCATAAGCACAATAAAGAGCTTATGGATAATCACCTATAACGTGGGTCAAAAGGAGAGATTATGTGTTTACGGAGCTTGGTTGACTGGTTGATTCTGGCTCCAAGGGATGGCAAAAGGTCGGCAGAGAAGAAACTGCTGTGTTTGATTGTGTCCATTGGGTAATCCTCGACACAGAACCTCTCGAAGAAGTTTCTGGTGCAAGAGATGGACATCTTTTCTGATGCTTCAATCTCTCTGGAAAAAATAAACTCTTTCTGCGGGGTGAGACTCTCCTCAGCAAGGTAGTTATAAATAGTGATAAAAGTTGTGACAAGTGACACGGGCTAACGTTCTCCTTTTCCTTTTCCCTCGTTTCTGTTGTGACTTCTATGCCAACTTGCACTGACCCATTAGTTTTCCTTTTCTGACAAAAATAAATTTACCGAGGAAGGTTTAAAGCTTTGTACAGACTAGTGCGCCATTAACACCCCACACCCACAAGGTAAAAAAAAGAATGGTTAAGTGTGGTACACTTTTTCTACCCTGTGAGAGCAAAAGCGGGTGAATAGGAGGTGAAAAACACAGAACCATCAGCGTTATGCGGGAAGAGTGAGATGGTAAGTGGCGGACATTGAGCTTTTGCAGCAATGCCAGAGTTTCTTTCTTTTCTTCTTTTGCAGGCAAAGAAAGTTTTGAACCCGGAGAGAGAGAGGGGACGCAATCTGGTAATGGAGTTTCTGCTGGATGAGATGGTGACGGTGGTGGGAGATCCATTTTCTCAGCATATGAAGGTGGGAATGATATATAGGCATATACATAAATACACAAGAGGCGTATTTGTTGTGTGTGTTAATGGAAGGACAAAATTGGGCATGAAAAATTTGGTGTTTTCATTTCAGGAATCCAGAAATGGACCAGGCAAAAGGAAGAAAAGATGGCCTTTGACAGAATATTTTTTGAGGGCCAGAGGATTAAAATTTTCGAGTATTCCTCAAGGATCTTTTCCTTTTTATTCCGTCTTCAAAACCAATCATTAACATACGGTGTGTGTTTCAATTCAAACCCTATCTAAAATTTCTTTTGAGAATAAATCTTGATCATAGTTTGAATGGTTAACGATTTGGAGTGTTCTTACCAGAGGAGTTGAGTTTTGCTTAGATATGGATGCCACGTGGACCAACAACAGCTCTCCACGTCAGGTTTCACAGCCCCCCTCTCTTTCTCGAGAAAATCCCTCCCGAGAACAACAAGGTTGGTTTTGTTGTTAGTGCAAAGCGGAATCTTTTTGTTGTTGTGCTGCAATGCAAAACGGAATCTTTAACCATGACTGTCTGAAAACCCATTCCCACCATTAATATTCCCTCTCTCTTGCTGTCTTGTTCGCGCGCACACGCGTTATGAATCGCGCTGATTCGTTTTGGTTTGACTTGTTACAGTTAGTGAGGAAGGCACGCGGTTGGTTCTATGCGGTGACACTTGAGTGTCTCAGTCCCCGCCGACGTTTCCTTCGATCAGTGGACCCTTCTTGTGATTTGTTGACACTTTTGAACAGGTTAGTTTCCGGATAAACTTCAGCCTCTCCAACATTTTTTTTTCTTGTATATATCTCTATTTCTTGCATTTGATATTTTTCGTTATCGTTTTCGTTTGATTGCTCTAGACTGTTCCTTGTTTAGCTTTTTAATTAGTCCCCATTTTACGCGTAATCCTCGAATCTAGAGGATCTGACATGACATGAAAAAAGGCTTTTAATTAAACGGTATAATAAAGATCAGGGACCCTCTTTTACAATAGAAACTAGATATAAGAAATATCTAGGAATGGAGTAACCATGGTCCTAGGGTAATCATGGTTAACAAAAGCATTTGTTCGTGGTTTGGATCACGAACATTTTGTAGTTATGTTTGTCTCTCTCTCATTTGTTGGATAGACGGTAAGAATAAAATTATCGCCAAAATTTTCAAACTTAAACCTTTTATTCGCCACCCAAAAAGAAACCTTTTACTTCTCTCACAAGTTTGAGTCGATTTTCCGGTTTTTGTTAGATCTTATCTGATATTTTTTTTTTGATAACCAGGATGGTTCGTCGGGCCTTCGCCCCGACTACATCCACTCTAGGCCCGGGACTAGCCTTTGTATATTAATCATTTTAGTCAAGAAATTACATCACTCTCTACCAGTGAAATCGAACCCAGGACCTTGAGGATGATTTTGTCACCTTTCATCCATTGGGACATCAACTGTTGGGTTTATCGGATATTTGATTGTGTTGCACCGACGTTAATCATGAAATGTATGATTTCATACATTTGTAGTATTAGCTAACAAATAGAAGTTACGGTGAAGTTTTAGCAAATTTTGGACTGTGGGGAGGGGGAGAAAAATAAAAGGTTCACATTCAATTCACGTAGCCAAGAATCAACTAAAACGTGTGTGTTGGTCCCTCGGGCTCGGTGTGTGTGGAATAGACTGGCAAATCGTTAGAAAGATTTAGTTTTGCCACTTGCAGTCTTCTCATTGGCCCGTTAAGAGCCATAGACAACTGCTTTGCTTAATCTTTTTTTCTTTTTTTTGTCGGCAATTAACCGTTTAATTTAAGTCGGTTGTTAGTTCACATCTGATGAGCGACACTGGGACCAGAAGTAAAACAAAAAAGTGTTGTTGGGTCATAGAGATTATTTAGAAAATCAAGATTTTTTCTTCTTTGTTTTTATGTTTTCCTCAAACGTGGATAACCTGACGATATCCCATGAATAGTTTTGGATAAAATTTCTGTATCCTTGGCTTGGGAAATTTCGGATTGTCTTGCCTACACTGTCGATGTGTCAACATTAACCGAGAGAAACCCAGTAAGGGTGGCCTGGTGATAAAGAGAGCACAAAATGACTCTCCTTATCAAAGTTCAAATCCCATGGACAACCAATTATAAAAAAAAACATTAAACGAGACTTATAAAATATTACTAAATACAGTCAACTGTTATATTTATTTAAGGAAGGGCTTTCCAAATCCGGTTTGAGTCCTCATTTGGAGAAGAGTATTTACATGAGCTTCTCTAATTTTCTGGAAGATGTAGTCGTGGCAAAAGTTATTATAAAAAAATTATTATATTTAAGTCATTCTGTTTCCGTTTTGGTCTCTTGCATGTTACGCTTATCATGTGATCAATCGCGTGACTATGAGACTTGGTAGGGTAGTTAACGTCCATAGGATTTACGATAGATTTTGGGATCGCATATTTGGGTGGCTGAATCTCTTTCGCATGTGATCTCAGAAAACGAAATTTTGTACACCAAAACTCTGTTCTTTTGCTATTATCTTCAATGAAATTATTTTTTTTAAAAAAGCATATACAGGAGATCTCTCTCTCTCTCTCTCCATGTCGCTTCCCTTTCACCTCTGGTGGAACTGTTTGTTTTTCTACCCATACGATAGTCTGGCTTATGTAGTTTAAAAAACTTTTTTAACAACGTAAAATAAAAGAAATTTTGGTGGAGGGAAGGAACTCATGAGGGTGAAATAGTGTGTAAACCACAGTGCGCAGCCATCTAATTTGAATTTCTTGGAATCGGCTAAATATTTTCCAACATTATGATTCTTTAACACCTTTTATTTAATATATTTGAGCTTCCAGGGACGGTGGACAAATAACTGTGTTCTCCTATGTGGTGTGGTCCTAAACCTCTAGGTGACTTTAAAGGGCTAGGTTGCGTTGTTGGGTTTGTGGTTAATTAGACAAATTATGAACTAGAATGACATTAATCGATAATAACTATTTTTCCTAGTTAGATTCCAAAGTCTTAATTTCTTCGGTCTTGTGTGCATGGCTTTATTCGATTTGGTTTTAAAAAAAAAATCAGGTTAACCATGGGTTAGACTCAATGTCAATGGTATTCATTATTCACTCGTATTGGTAGGTTGCGTTGTGCCTCACGGGATTAGGTTTGTGTAGTTAGAGATTGGTAGGGTCAAGCATAATGAGCTCCTCGTGAGAGTCCTGCCATTTGCGAAACTTTTATTATAAAGCTAAAATCATTCATGCATCTCCTTTGTTTGTGTACATGTGTTTAGTTTTGGATTAAAAACTGTTTTAAGAGTTTTTTTCTTATATACACCAACTTTGTCTTTCAGCCACACGAACATAGGTATAGTACCATGGGAAAACAAAAATATGTTTTTTTTGGTTTTACCCCAAAGTTATGGTGTAAAATCTTGTCTCAGTCAATGTGGCAATCCACACTGGCAACAAGATATGAGTTAAATGTTGAAAAAACAGTAATACCAAGAAACAAGTAGAACAACCTTCATTCATTTACACGAGATCAATCTAGAATATGTGTGAAAGAAGAGGAAATGAAGTACCCAAACGGGAAGATTTTAGAAAGAAAGAAACTATGAAAACAACATATTTTTTTTAAAAAAAACGTTATGACCCCAAAACAATTTCAATTTTTAATGTGTATACATTAGCTTTTAATTGCAAATTTTCATAATTATTAAGGAAAATCCAAAAACAAAAACAACACTAACCCTTCAATTTTGACAAAAAAAAAAACATGTGATTTTTTTTGAAAAAACACTAAATTTTTTTAATTGTCAAAAATAATATCTAACTGTTCGACTAATGTTAAATTAAACAACTGAACTGACGCAGTGTATGGAAGAGTAAACGTGACGTGAAATTGCACTTTCGTTCGCCATATCACCACTTCCGTATGTCATGTTAGTTTGGTTGTTTAATTTAGATCTCGTTGAATAGTTTAGATATTATATATTTTGAACAATTTAAAAAGTTTAGTATTTTCTGGCTAAGAAAAATTCAGGTTTTGTTTTGTCAAAATTGAAAAATATAGTGTGTTTTTTTTTCCGGGATATTCTCTAACTACAATTATCATAATTAGGAAAAACTTTTTTTTTCCCTATAATAGAAGGTTATAGAACCTATTGTCTTGTAATGTAGTTCTTTTCTACCTTTTTCTTGTCCTTTCATATTCAATTTTTAATTTGTATACGGTAAGGCTACCTTACAGTGTTAGATTTACCCAGAATAGATTATGTCCCACAATATATAGAAGGACGATTTCACGGAAAGAAAAAAAACTATTGATATATGGAGAAATTACTAATCTCCCCCCTCCCCCCCCAAAAAAAGGGAACATAATGGCAAACATAAATCTTTCTGGTGGATTTCATAGGGCAAAGACAAGGGGCAGAGGGCACTGCAGTGGTCCTTGAGGACATTGATGGTTGCCCTCACCCTTGCCCCAAGCTAGCCCTTCGCACATCACGTGGTTCGCTCTCATATATATAGCCAAATTCATGCATATGCATAAAGGAAATTTTCATCCTTTTGCTTTTTGATAGACCTAAACTCAGAGTGTAATGAAAATCCAGTATATTATGATTTCATTAGGGTAAAAAAAAACAACTAATTAAGGTTAGTAAACATCTTTTCCCAAAACTAAACTCGTTTTCAGAAGCAAAAATTTGGAATATATTTTCGTAGGGATGTGCGTTTCGGTTTGAAAATTTGGTTTTGAATCTGTTCGAAGCGAGTCAAATAATAACCGGTTCTAAATTGATACATTTTTGTAGAATCGAATAAATTGTTATTGAAAACTCCATAAGTCTCGAACTAAAATTCGAATTATCCACCTATATCTACGAATGTACGGGGTGATTATCAAGTTTGGGTTCTTTAGTATTTATATAACAAAACCATATCGAACCAAATCGATAGTAAAATAAACCAAACTGATTGATATTTGGTTCTAATTTGATATACCAGAATTGAATAAATTGGTTCTAATTTTATATTTTCGTATCATACCCATAGACTTGGTATTGTCGCATATGAAATTAATCAGGCTACATTTACATATCTAGATATTTGAAAAATGTGGTCCCGAAGATTTTTAAACTGGCTGATGCTAACGAAACAATCGGTTTCTACAAACATTCAATTCCGTCTATTTCAAATAGGCGGGTATCTTATGGCTCTGGGGCCCCAAATCTAAAAATTCCTTACGACAAAACCTTCACAATTGAATTTCATTAGAAACGCTCTTTTAGGAGAACAAAAATTAGGGAACTATAACGTAAAAGAACATTTTCACAATGAGAACGAAATCAATCCACCCCGAGAAAAGTGAACATCATATTGTGATTCCAATCTTTTAAAAAACTGAAAATTTTAAAACAATCTTTCATAATATGTTTGTGTTTGTGTGTGTTTTAAAACAATCTTTCATAGAAAATATTCTCAAACACGAAAAGCATTTTGTGATTTCACTACAAATGGAAAGGGTACAAGGGATGAAAATATGATATTAAGTTCTATGTTATGTTTAGCACATGTAAATTAAAGATGAAGAAAATACTTGATAAATATTCTAGGGATAAAAAAAAGGTGATATAAAAGCAAAGATAATGTAGTTTTATTCTGATATTGGACACCAAAATCAATATAAGTTGACCTTTTGAATGAAACAAAATTGACTTGACATTACGTATTTGATTAGTTCGAATATAAATTTAGCTTTTTTAATAATTTATTTTGGTGATGGGAATATGCAAAAAGAGCAAGACGGTAATGGGAGATGAATGTTGGATTGTTGGGTTCCCATATCAAAATATTCTTCTCGCCTTAGTTGCGGAACACATCAAGCGTACCTTTCGGTGAGTGGTTATCATCAGAAATTGCGCATATCATATAAAGTAATATAAAATTTGTGTTGAATTTGGATGACAAAAATTCTTTTCTTTTTGGTGCTTATTTTAATGTATATATACGCATATATGTATATATACACCCTATAAAAAGCATTTTTTCTTCGAAAGTTATACACTCATTTGTATTTTTGTGCTGAAAACATCGGAGATAAAAGTATTTCTTTTATAGGATTATGAAGATATCAATGTATAATTGACTCATCAATTGTTGTTTTTTATATTGATAATTAATTTGTTTCTATTTTTTTTCAATTGGTTTAGAGTTTTCCCTTGTAATTCTATATCTATAGAAGTTGTTTTTTAAAGTTGTTTTTATCTTTCTGAATAAAATATAGAAATATCGGATTAAAATTATAATTTTAACTGGTGGACGAGAGTTTTAAATTTAGATAGATATAACATAACTTGGGATTTTGGCATTTTCTTCTATATTGATTGGAGTAACTCCACAACGTCTCATATATATATATACATGCACATTCTCAATTTGTATCTGTTTAAAAATAAAATAAAGTATTCTTTTTGGTTAGTGTCGATTACGGCATGATTGATATTGAAGCAACTTTTACGCATACAAATATTTTTTTTTGTGTGTGTACAAAAGAAAGATTCATGCCTATCTTTTCCAGTCAAAAAAACCATGGGTGCTTATCATTTTGTTGATTGTTCACCTGGTATCACGTGATTTACACGTGCGATGCATGAGTCGCATTCTTTTTCCATTACATACGCGGACACTACTATTCTCGAAACATCTCGATAGAACGCTAAAAGTTTACTGTTACTATCTTCATTTTGTTTTGGATTTATCTAATTAATATTGTTATATTAAGAAAGTGCTCTTTCGACCGTTTACCAAATGGAAGATCAAACAAAAGCACATATCCCAATTTGAAAAGAAGAGGGCCCGAGAAATCTATCAATGGATGTAGGACCAAAATAACTCGGCCAATTGCCTCCCGAGGTGAGGAGAATCTATATGCATGCATGTGCATGAACCCATTACACTCTCTTCCTCTCTTTTTTTGTGTAAAAAAATGCGGGCAAGTGTCTTTATGTCATTCCATTTACAACGAGGCAATAACTTTCTTCTTCCACGTTGTTGTTCAGTGGAAGCCAGATTTGAACTCATTATTATACGATTCCTTTTGATATTAACCTTTTCTCCCCACATGTATTAGAGTAAACAATACATATACGTGTAAGCCTGCGATAGAAACAGAGGGTTTGTATTACATGCATATGTCTAATAACACGGGGGTTGTTTGTTAATTGTTATGGTTGTTTACTATATGTGTTTTGTGTCCAAAGAACTTGTTATGTTGGTAAATTAAATATTCTAATATCCATTTACAAAGATTATGCTGAGATGGGGATTCCGAATCTCTAAGTGCCCGATCTTGCCCATTATTGATGTTTCCTTCTTCGGTGTGCATATAACCAATACATACATATATATACACTCGTATATGTATCTGCAATATATATTTATATATTTGTGTATATATTATGAAGAGGTAGTAAATTAAATTGGATCTAGTATAAGGCAATAGTCGATGAATTTGTGTATAGAAAGTCCTGATCATGAATTGATCATACAGGAAAGACGGTTCAACAAGTTGCGTAATAAACCTAGGACTAACTGTTTGCTCATTTGCCTGTTTCCACAATCATTTTACCTTTTGACTCTTTCAAAATTCTAGCATGGATCATAAAATGACGTTTTAAGATCATAAATCAGAAACCGATGAACCAATGCATGTACATACATACATACATACATACATACATACATACATACATACATACATACATACATACATACATACATACATACATACATACATACATACATACATACATACATACATACATACATACATACATACATACATTACGTAGACAAATAAAATATTTCCATCGGTTATTATAGCTCAAAATCCAATACAAATATGGATTTATAAGTGCCCATGTATTGATTTCCGAGCTGTCGTCTCTCTCTCTCTCTCTCTCTCACACACACACACACATATATATATATATATATATATATATATATATATATAATGGCTCTCGTCACATCCTATGCAATTATGAAACATGGTGATTAAAATTAATTGCATATACGTTACTTCTGTATTCGAGATCCTTGTCATACATCTAATTTTGTTTCTCGTTTTATTTGTTTTACTTCTTTGGTATAAAATAAAATATAAATATGTTAAGTTGGGCCAATGTTATTCAACACCCTATTTTTTTCATAAGGCTGGATTCAATCAAAACCCACTAAACAATGTAGACATATGTGCTGGAATGGATTGGCCCATAAATAATCTTCTTGATACCTTTTTTTTCCCTTTTACACACGTATAGGGGTGGACGATCGGTCGGATTCGGTTTAATCGGGTTCGGTTATTTCGAGTTCGGGTATTTCGGATTTGAAATATTTATATGCAATCGGGTATATTATTTTAATCGATTCGGGTTCGGGTTCGGTTCGGTTTATCCAAACAAAAAAACGATAAAAAAATTCAAACAATTACCTTATAAAAATAACAAAAACAATATTAAAATACATGCATATTTCGTTTTTTTATATATTATGATTATAAAACAATATCATTATACTATTTTTCTAATTAGATTTAGAATATATTACATATTAATTGATGATATATAGATGGATAAACGGATATTTTCGGTTATGGTTAATTCGGATTCGGTTTATTCGGTTTACGGTTATTTCGGGTTCGGATATTTCGGATTTGAAATATTCATATCCAATCGAATATATTATTTTAATCGGTTCGATTCGGTTCGGATATTTATCGATCAGGTTCGGTTCGATTATTTGGTTTCGGTTATTTTGCACACCCCACGTATACTTAGAAATACATGTACACTGTACGCAAACATAGACACCCATTTGCGTATATATGTGTGTCAGTGTGTGTACGCGTATTAACGCTTGGGTTGGTTTAACTGCATCACAGTGTCAGTACATTAAATTCAAATCCCTAAAACCTATTATATATATGTGTGTATATATATATTACTGCTGTGAAACGACACCGTTGGAAGAATGACAAAACGGGCCGTTGACCAATCACAGTAGGAGGGCTTTCATAAAGGGAAGAAAACCGCGGAGGGGAAATGAGATAGTGGGAGAGAGATCCCAAAGGCCGGTGAGAATTTCACCTTTCGCCGCTCTCTCTCTCCGATCTCCAGTTGTACTATTAACCCCGCAGAACGAAAGATCATCAGGCAGGCAAGGCCTATCTCTCTCTCTCTCCGCTTTTTGATTTTGAAACCTAGAACTCTCTGCTGTTTCGTTTTCCCTTGGAAATTGTTCGAGATTATTGCAATTGGTAGACGAATTATGAATATTGGAATGGGAGGAGTGGCTATTCGCATTGGACATCCCAATGTTTATCTAAATCCGTGGTTGTTGAGGATTTTGCCTGTTTCTGTTATGATGATGTCGATGGAACGAAGTTTCGGCCATTTGGATTGCTTGTTATCCTGGTTGTCTGAAGTAAATATGCTTACGATCTTACGTTTGATGTTACTTTCTTCAGGATTTGCTTTCTAAGTCTTGGTTGTTTTCCCTCTATTGGTTTGCAGGTTGAATATTAGTACATTACTTGACTGACTGAGAATTTGCCAACAGAGAAGTATCTTTTTTTTAACGTCATAAAGAGTTTTGGTGAGTATAGCTTCTTTGACCTCAACTTGGAAGTAGGACTTTTCCATGAATGTTAGAGGAATCGACCTCACTTCAGCAGCCACCGGACGAACTTGATTTACTTGCCCGCGATTTGCTCGGTATTCCGGAACTTCCTTATGTAGTAATTTCATTCAAACCAGTTTCCTTAGTCATCTCAGGATTTGAGACATTAAAAATGGGGGCAGAGGCCGAGTTTGTGGGAGGATGAGGCAAAACTACCGGCATGGCAGTAGTGGTGCTGGTAGTATATGCCAAGGCCTGCATCTTCTCTCTCTCTAGTGAAATGGATTTAGTTCCTACTCTTGGAAACAAAGACAAGAAGCTAATATCGTATTTGGTGTAGGACATGTATGAATATGGTGTATTAGAATACTTTTTCTCGTGTGGTGGTTGTTTGTATTGGCTCCGTAGTGAATGCAATATCGATTGTTCTTCTGGGTGCTGATTACATTTCTTTTTCACTTTTTCTTTTTACCCCTTTGGAGAAATTCACATCCACTTTGACTATCAAATCTATGTTCCTTAGTACTAGCTCTTCGGAACCCAGTTTATAGAATAGGGGTTTTAGGATACAAGGGAGAGTAACAAACCGAACCACTCATTGTTCTGATTTCTGAACATTATTCTCTGAGTAGTCATACATTATAGTGCTCATATATATGTGTATGTATGTATTGGTAGATGGATAGAAATATTCTACAAGGCACCTTCTAGATTTATGTATTACGACTATTATATAGCGTAGATCATAAGACAATGGAAGGAGTAAAGCATTCTAGCGGTGTTGGCTTCTATCTTTGGGAGCTGGAGGAGAACCACCACTGCTAGAGCCACCCGTTCCGCCACCAGAGCCGCTGTGGCCATCGTGTCCAGTCCCACCTCCTGAGCCATACCCGCCATCCTTTGCTCCGCCTCCTCCTGAGCCATACCCAACCCCACTGCCCGTTCCCGAACCAGAACCTGAACCCGAACCAAACCCGTAACCGAATCCTTTTCCTCCTCCCTCGGGTGATGAGCCCGAGCCTGAGCCATACCCATATCCACCACCTGGTGTTGAACCCCATCCCCAATTATAACTCCAATTCGGGCCATGACCCGAACCGCTTGAACCGGTGGATCCCGCTCCATTGGGCGGGCCAGGAGCCGAACCGCTTGAACCGGTGGATCCCGTTCCATCGGGTGGATTGCTAGGGCTCACAGCCTCAGGGGTGGTTCTGCCATTGGCGGGTGAGGAGGCCATCATAAGGAGAAGCAAGAGGGCCATCACCATTGTAGGTAACTTGCCTTCCATTTATTTTCTAGTTGGATACCAGTCTTGTTTTGTGTAACGGTTGCATAAAAAGGGTTTATATACACCCACACACACATACACGTAAGTGTCATGCATATCTGTGTGATAAAAAATCTAAAGAAAGGTGGGAGGTTTGTTAGCGACCCGTGAAGAGAGCTGGACTTTGGGAATCAAAGTGGGATATGGTTTTTGCCAACATGTGAACTTAAATTTAGAATTTTTTTTTTTTTAAATGGTGATTGTGCAAATGGCGGTGTTTCCCTTGAGCCTTTTCTTCATGAGGAAAGGAATGATTCACTAACGAAAAAGCTTTTTTTTAAGATCATTATTATTATATGTGCACCACCGCCAATTCCACTAAACCTTTCACTTTCTTTGTTATTTCCTTTTCAATGCCATTTCTCTCGTGTGTGTGTATAGTGTGCTCTCTGATATTTTTACGACCCAAATTATATGGTTTTAGCTTCTTATATGATCCAGGGAACGTTTTCCATTCTGTTCAGGTTTACATATTTGATGATAATGTTCCATGATCTGAGATTTATAAGAGTGATTTAGTTGTCCAATAGTTTTGATGTTGTTATGGACAACATGTGGCAGTTCTTGAAGATCTCCGTCTTTGCTCATAACTATAATTGTAGTTGGCACTTGGCAGTTTATTACTTCACTATTTTTTTTAAAAAATATATGTATTTTCTCTAAATTTTTGCATACATCACAAGAAACCAAGGATTTGGTTGGTGACAGAAAAAAAAAAACGGGGAAAGAAAAGAAAAGAAAATAATGTTTTTTTTATGAGACGTTATGTGTGCTCCTTTTTTATTGGTCGGATTACAATTCTGAATTCTTTAATTCTTCCATGTCAATTTGCACCTTTTTTTTCTGGTTAGGAGATGGATTGTCTCGTGAGTCGTGTGGATACATTGGATCCTTATCAAAATGTTTTCTGTATTTATGACATTTTTTCATTATATATAATATATTTAGATTTTTGGCACTCTCAATTTTATTCGCAACAAAATATCGCATCTAACCGGACCAAGATTCGATTCTTTCAGAATTTACAAAAATGCCCTCAAACACTAGTTTACGGGTTAGGGCAAAAGGAATTAAAATCGGCCCAGTCAAAAACAGGGAATATGTTCGAACAGGAGACGTCAAGGTGTCAAAAAGTCACCAATGGCGAATCGACGATGAGGATCTGAAAAATCGAACATTCTTCTCCTTCCATTAGCGTCACCATGTTCGACTGTTCATCGCCTTGAATGGCTACACGTCGACCCTTCTTCTTCTTCCTTCTCTCTTAACCAAATTCAACCTCTCCCCGCCTTCTCCTTCTCGCCGCTCTCGACCATGAGATCTCTCTCCCTTTCTTCGAGTTCTTACTGGCTTCGTCGTCCTACCCTTCTCCGGTCTCTGGAATATCCTCCTGCCGCCTCGGTTTCCCGCCCCCGGTTTAATTCTGGGTCTCGCTGTTCTTGCAAGGTACGGATTTTTTCACCCTCCTTTCTTCTATCCGTATGAATCATTGCTTTCTACTTGCGTATTGTTGTATAGTCCTTGGTTTCCTTATCGTCTTCGAAGATTATGGCGGAGTGATTCGTGAAACAGAGTCAAATTGATGACTTATGTAAGACTCTGAATATAACTTGATTCTCCGTAGCGATCCTAATCCGTATGCTGTGCTTCAACTCTCCTGTGCAATGGATCCTATTCTATTAGACTTTGGTATTTTTAGGATTTATGATTGTACATTGTAAAAATATGGTTCTCAAGGAATAAGAAGTTCATGGAAGATTGATCTTAATGTGGGTATCACCTGCTAGTTCGTAAGATATTTTGCCATTTGGCTCTTTATCTCCTGGGTTTAATGTTACTTCTACTAGGGTATTTCCAAATGCAAGTTAAATTTGGATTCCATTGCATTCATTGTGTCGGAGATGTATTCAGCAATGCAAAGCGCTACAGAACAGTTGTTCTTATTCTATTAAAGTTCATGCCAAGAAAATCTATGTCCTGTCCTGTTGTTATGGATCTCAGGCCTTCCCTTCGTTTCATTTCAACTCTGTTTTGGATTCTCTGTAGTTTAAAGCAGCAAGCTTCCAGAGACATGGATGCGGCATGGGACGAAGCTCTCTGCCAGTCAAGGCTTTTGATGGGGTAAATTTGTCACTAAGCATGTGATGTATTTACTTCTGGTTTTCTTTTTCCTTTTCTGTTTGATCTTGATGATCTTCAGTTAGCGATGTGTGTTCGTACCTGTTGCGTGTTCTTAAGGTATTGATTGCTGGGGCAAATTGTTTCTTCTTCAAGTTTGATTTTCATATCATACCTTGAATATTTCTATGAATCTGATTGTTCACTTATTGTCAATTTCAAATCCATTCTTTTGTTTTTCTTCCTGTCACGCAATTTCAAAACCTTTTAGATTAGTATTTTTGGTTATAAGTGGTGCAAAATGCAGTAGATATCTTATGGCCAAGATTAGTTCTGATTACCGCATGATTTGTTGCAAACTTACTAGACGTTCTTGTTTTGTTCCATAGGATTCATTTGATTTTGCCTCCATTGATATCTTTGCCGGCACTGGAACCACTGGATATGCAATTTCATCAAGCGAAGGTGAAGAGAGTGATGGGGAGTATGCACTGAATGTGGTCACTGAAACAACTGCACAAAGGCTAGGCAGGATCTCAAGAAGTAGTAAAAAGCACAGGTTTGTAGCTGATTTCGCATAAACTGTTGCTTTTTCTAGGCATACCTATCCCAGCATATTCTTTTGGTGAATAAATATGTCTGTGATCTTGTTCTGTTCCCTACCGATCCATTTCAAGGAGAAAAAAATATCTTGTAGAACATCTGTGGAGATGAAGTGTAGAGAAAAATGTTTTTATGGTTAGACTATGTGACTATAGAAATTAAAATATGGTGGTTGACAAATTTCTGTTGCCTAGATTCTACGTAGTTGTTGATCATGCGAATATTGGCCAAGATGGCTATCTTGGGAAACTTTCTATTGTTTTTTTTTCTTCGGAGGGATTTAACACAAGAATCGAACTCTTCTTTCGAATAAGGGGAAACTTTCTATTGTTGTGACACGTGCTTTTTCGCATTTGCTGGATCAGATATGGGATGTTCATAAATTTGGGACTGCTTATCTTTTTGTCGCTGCTGCTTTTATTTATGGACTGTTTTGCTTGGAAGATTGTGAGACTGCCCCTGCCTCCATTGTTCTTGAGTCGACCCTTCTTCATATCAGCGGTTATGGTCACCTTTGTTGGTTATATTTTTGTCCCACTTCTGGACAAACTGAAGGTTTATCAATCGGTTAGGATAATAGGGCCAAATGGGCATCACCGTTTATGGACAATCCCGACAATGGGAGGGTTGTTTTTTATACCAATTGGTATCGCTGTTGCAGAAGCCATTACAAGGTTTTCATCCATAGAAGTTTCTGGAGCAGCTGTTGCAACCCTTGCATTTACCGGGATTGGGCTAGTTGATGACTCCTTAAACCTCCACAACGGTACCACCGGTTTGTCTGCAAAGATCCAAACCCTTTTGGAGGTAACAATTATCCTACTGTTCTGTGTGTTAGAGCTTTTTCATCAGTTATAGCAACTCATTGTCAGTATACATTTCAGATAGCTGTTGGGACATGCTTTGGTTTCTGGTTGGACAGCGCAAGCATCTCATCTCCTTATGGCATGTATAACCTCTTGAAACTAAACTGATCAACGTATATCTGATGGTAACTTGCGTATCTACTCTCATGTGAACATATATGGAATAAGAACACAGCCATTTTTTTTTGGAGTTAGCCTATAGTTCAGGAATTAGTCAATGGAATTGTAACATTTTTTTAGTTCTTAAAAGCCTAGTGAGACTGATTTACTCTGGTGGTGTTATCTGATATAACTGATACTTACCCTCTTCTGGATTTCTGCATTTTACCAGGAAGACGTTGGTTCCCCTGCCTTCACCGATTGGGCTTGTTTGCTTGGGACAATTTTACGTGTTGATGACATTTTTTTGCTTTGTTTCAATGGGAAACATGGTCAAAGTCACTGATGGTGTCGATGGATTGGCTGGAGGTGTTGCCACCTTGGCTTTTGTCGCAATGGCAATCGCCGTTCTTCCTATTTGTTCCGGTTAGTCTTGTAAAAACATACTGTCCAATTGCATTGTTTCCGACATTTCTTCTTTTGTGGCAGTGGCTAAACTAATTTAAGGGCATTTTAAAAAACCAGATCTGTCGGTATTTGGAACATCAATGGCCGGGGCTTGTTTTGGGTTTCTAATTCACAACAGGTACAAGGCATCTGTCTCCATGGGAAATACAGGATCACTGGCCATTGGTGGCGCTTTGGCTGCAATGGCCGCTTCCACTGGGAT